CTTTGTGCGTCATCGCATGTCTGCACGCCAGGATTGGGAGATGCGGCCTTACAACTCTGCGTGCAGCTACCGTAAAAACAGTGGTCAATCCGTAGCCTCCGTTTGTTTAACCTAATCCGCCATCCTGACCATGAGTAGCTCCCTGCGTGTACACTTTATCAGCAATATGGGTACTGAATAAATCTGCTCCATGCTACGCGTCTGTTTCCTTTATAGCTGGGCTATAGCTTAGCAACACGTCTGTTTCCTTTATAGCTGGGCTATAGCTTAGCTGAATTATACGTCTGTTTTCTTTATAGCTGGGCTATAGCTTAGCTAGTTCGGGAGTCTAGCTAGATGTAGGAGAATCTGCCAGAGATTTCTCGGGAGTCTAGCTAGATGTTGGAGAATCTGCCATAGAGACTAAGTCTAGCTTGATGTAGGAGAAGCTGCCATAGAGATTTCTGAGTCAGTCAGGCTTTCTTAGGGAGCAATCCGCTACAAGTCTACAAAACAATATACATAACTAGCATAGCAATCCGCTAGAAATCTCATTAATCAACTAAAATCAAACCTATCATGGCTCAATTGGAAATAAGAGCTCTTCTGAGGTCAAAATTAGCATAACACAGAATTTCAAAGATGAAGAATAAAAATGAATGATTTTTCAGGAAAGATAATTTTCGATATTTTCGAATTCTTTGCACGCATTCATTGATATTTTTCATAATCATCTAAAATGAATTAAATCTTTTACTATTGATCTACTCGTACTTCCATAGGGTTCTAAATATTAAGCATTCTTTATGAACGATTTAGTCTTATATATTAATAAAATTTATATTCTAATATTACTTAATCTAAAATAGCTATGCAAAATTTGATTTTTATGGATAAACTCAATCGGTATCTTTTACTTTATGATTTCAGCTTACTTAATTAAAACCGTCTATAACTATGCTTTACTGTAATGGTTATGGTAAAAAGTATTAATTTAGTTTATTTATTCTTTGAAAGAAAATCCGTGGTTTGCTAAAGTATCTATTCTAGACCAAGTCACTAGATTTTCATAATAATGTATAAAGAACTGTTATTAAAAGCATAAAAACCCGATAAATAGCATTTTATATCAAATCAAATTAGATTTTTGATAAATTCAAATCTCTACTTTTAACTTTCTCACTCCAAAGCGGGCCTCCCAAACGCGATTTTCTCTTGGTTTGTCGAGATGTTTGTAAGGGCTTTTTCCTTGATGGGTCGTCAGTCTATATTACCAGCTCTGAGATTTTCCTCTAATTATAGTGCCGTGTTTTCAAATGATATAAATCAGGTAAAGACTGTTTGTTATATATTTATGAACATGCCAAAATATTGATATTAAATTTTTCATTTTGAAGATGGCTTGTTTAAATTTGTTTCTACTTCTACCTCTAGATAACTCTCTTGGGATCCGTTGCTTCAACTGGAGTCACGATTGATAATTCCTCTTCCGTTGCCACATTTAATCTCCTTACTAGGGCGAGATATCGAGCAGCGGATCGTTATATGATGAAATTAGTCTACCACAGGTTAGTGTTTTCATGTTGTTTGCACTACCATTTCTTGATTAGGCATCTATTCGGTAGTGTACTTAGTATAATTTTTTAGCGTATTTAATATGAAAACATTTAATCGCATGGGTTAGTAAGGTAGGCTTAACATTTATTAATTTCACTCTATTCTAAAATAAACGCGTAGATGGTATAATCGGGTAGAATGATTATACTTTGCTAATGCATGTTGATCATGAAAAAACAGTGAGAAATTGGCACTATATATATTAGTAATTGGTACTTAGGCATTTCTATTTAATTTCATTAATTAAAGCCTTATTTCTTTCTACAGAATCCACGTATTTGATAGACCTCTTGTTGAAAGAATTCGCAGCCTCTCCCAAGGTGATCGAGTCTACGTGCAAGGGTGTCTGAGTTCCTTCAAAAAGAGTACTCACGATTGGATGCAGTGCATCACTGCACAAAACATAATCCTTCATTCCGACGCTGGCAAGCAGCCCCTCGAAGATGCTGAAGCTCTGGTAGCTGTATCAGATGACTTGATTGAAGGGGATGAAATTGAAGTTACTATGGAAAGCATTTAAGGCGCTAATTTGCACAAATGTATATATTTATTCTATATTACATTCAATTTGTTTATACTCTTTCGATCTTTACTCTGTAACAATTGAGATGTTCATTTATTTTGTTATAAAATAATAAAGTAACTAAAACGCCCTCATTTTCTTTTCATTCAGTTGTACTTCTCTTTACTACTGCTTTATTGCAGCTGGTTGAAGATATCTTGAACGTGGTGTTTTGGAGCGTTTGCAAGATCTTTCGTGGGCAGTTTCCTTTTAGAGCATTCGAGATTATTACCTCGACAGATTGCGACAGATCGTGAATTAATATAAAGACTCATACGAATGCAAAAATTTATTTCAAATGACAGGCGTTTTGATAGTTATCATTAGCTTTTTAGTTGACCTAGGACTTCACAGAGAGGAGGAACATCATAGCGAAAAAATTCGAGATGGGGGGGGGGGAACAGAAGAGTGTTTCAAGGATGTAAAAGAGACAGACGCAAAGGTCGAGAGTGGAGTAAGGCGAGTACTGGGGAAGTGGTGGAATATGACAGAGTGGGGTCATGAAAATGTCTGCGGCATCTCCATGTTCCAACTGCTATTGGCATAAATCTATACTTCCCCCCCCATACGATACCTCTTGCAATTTACGTCTATTCGATCTTATCTCAATGTTTATTGTTGATGGCACCAATAGATTTTGTGACATCTGTACTTCTCACTCCTAATTGTAATTTACTCTAGCAAGGACAACTAGTCTAACTCTATTTAGATAACTTCTGACTACGCCAGTTAAGACCAACGGAAAGTCACGTTAGGTAATTCTTGAAAGTAGGGCTCATTGCGTATAGCTAAGACATCTAGTTCACTCAGCCAGATCGAAGTGCCGACAAGAACTTATTCGGGAAAAAGATAAGAAATGCAGTCATTCAAAAATAATTTATTAGTCCAACAAATAAATTAATATAGCGACTCTAAAGCATGCAGATAAAATCTGTTGGCGCTACTTATTCATTAAGCTGCCAGCATCTATTTAGAAGTTATGAAAAGGTCATTGCTTAATGCAGACCGTTATGGACTGCAGTAAGAATTGCCTTTCCTTATCGAATCTATTTCTTCTTCTGCACATTGGGCTGGTATTTCTAGCATTAGACGCTTGCTTATACATGCGTCTAACTGAGGACGCCAGCTTTTACCGACCTCGCCATTAAGACTTCTTCTAACAGATGTTTTGGAGTGAAACAGACCTACCACACAGAAAAGCTGAATGTTGACAACAGAGAGATAGAGATTTTACTGCCTGACAAACTCGAGCGAATTCATGTTGAAATCGGAAGTCTAACGGCGAAATATTGGAATCTTTGTGGGACACGTTATCGCTCTGTGCGTCATCGTATGAG